AATTTGACATTCTATTCTACATTTCCCCCCTTTTGAACAGAATTCTTCTATGGACTTATGGTATAGTGAATGACTTGGTATGGCTTTTCTAGCTAGTCTTTGTGACTCACCACATTACTAGGTGGGACTATGCAAATAAGGTATATGGAATTCTAATGTGAGGCTTGGTTGGTTTTGTCATTCTTCTAGGCTTAAAAAGAGCTTTCTGAGAGGCAGAGAAAGGGGGTCTTACTGCCATCAAGAGAGAAGAGCCAGGGGTGGAGTGAAGCATGTTCTTGGACCTCAGATCCCTGCCCTGGACCTCCTAGGTAGAGAGACAGCAGAGATGACAGGCAAGATGACCGGCTGAGAGAGTCAGCTGAGGAACCAGGAGACACAAGACAGAGCAACAGGCTTGATGGCCCATGGAGCAAGAAAGCTGAGTGCCTTTGGGCACAAGACTTGCTGGCAAAGTGGGGTGCATGTAGGTGTCCCTAACAGCAGAGCTAAAAGACATTTGTAACACTTGGCTGACCAGGGTAGAGGCCAAGGGCTAGAGAGGCATGCCTGATGGCTTAGCAGAGGGGAGACTGTCCTGATCGAAGAATTATATATTGAATGCATTCTTGAATCTGAACTGTAGCCTGTTACTTCCCTAATAAACCCCCATAATCATGAATATTGTCTGTGATTTCTGTGTGGCCATTGCAACGAATTATTATTGAACCTAGCAGAGAGTAATGAGTGTCATGGGAGAGATGGTTGGTGTCAGAGTTGGTAAAAAGGCTGGAGGGTGGTAGCATGTATGGCCTCATAGAAACTAGCCTTGGACTGCTGATGGTGACTCTGTTTCCCTCTCATGAGATTGGAGGAGGTCAGAAGATGTCACCCCATGCTATTTTGACAGGAATCTTTGGTCAAAATGTCATCATCCAGTTCTGGTTTCATGGCAAAGTAGGCAGTTGTTCATAGAGGCAATTAACCAACCACACATTCCAAATCCTATTCCTTTTCCTGACTCTCCTTCTTCCTCTCTTCCTACAGGTCAATAAACACCAGGTGTGGTGCCTTGGATGACCACTTTCAAGCTTTGAAGACATTATCAATTTATAATATATTTATATGTAATCTAACATTAAATTAGACTTTACTCTCCTTCAACAAGCTCAATGCTTTTTCTGCATAATGGCTTTTCCTTTTACTAGAATACCTTCCTGCATAGTCTTACCCTCTATCTGAGCCAATTGAAACACTATCAAGGTTCAATTCATATTACTAAGTTTATTTGTAAAAATATATATATATATATATGATATATATCAAGAAAGGATATATATCATATATATATGTATGTATATATACGTATGATATATATCTCCTTTCTCGATTCTCTGAGCTAAGTATGAAATCTCTGCCCCCTTTAATTTCCATACCATGTTGTTTGAACCACTTAAAAGCACTTATCTGATTCTGCATTTTACTACATCCAATTATTTCTTCCTTCTACATGTTGATTACTTACTATTTAGTCAGTCACTGTGGGTATATAGATTAGTAAGACATTGCCTTCACCATAAAAAATACAGTCACTGGACTTAAAGGACTGGTCCTTACTGATAACATGCCCAAATATATGAGGCAAAGTCTCACCATCCTTGCTTCCATTTATCATGACGTTCCTTGTTGCTCCAGTTGTGAGGATTTTTGTTTTCTTTATGTTGATGTGTAATCCATAATGAAGGCTTTAGTCTTTGATCTTCATCTTTAAGGGTTTCACTTTCAGCAAGCAAGGTCATGTCATCTGAATATCACAGATTGGTAATGAGTCGTCCTCCAATCCTGATGCCTGGTCTTCTTCTCAGATTATTTGCTCAGCATACACATTGAACAAGTATGGTGAAAGGATACAACCCTGAAGAACACTTTTCCTGATTTTAAAACACTCAATATCCCTTTGTTCAGTTTGAACAGCTGCCTCTTGGCCTATGTGTAGGTTCCTCCTGAGCACAATAATTGTTCTGGAAATCCCATTCTTTACAAAGTTGTCCATAATTTTGTTATGATTTACAGATTTTAATGTCTTTCAATAGTCAATAAAATGCAGGTAAACATCTTTCTGGTATTCTTTGCTTTCAGCTAAGATCCATCTGACATCAGTGACAATATCCTTCGTTCCTTGTCCTCTTCTGAATCCAGCTTGAATTTTTGGCAGTTCCTTTTCAGTATACTGCTGCTAGAGTTTATGAATTGTCTTTCTTAGTAAGAGACCCCCATTTTTCGGGGGGGGGGGTCCTGCATTTCCAAGCCTCTTTAGCAGTAGGAGACAGAGTAGCCATGTGAAGATTCTGATCAATAAGATGAAAATGGAGATTTGTGGGACGCCTAAGAAAGTGTCTAAAGGGGCCATCCTTTGCCTTTCCTATTTTTCCAGCTATGCTGTAAAGACCATGAGAACTGCAACGGATTGCTGAACCAATGGTGACAACTGGCTACCTCCAGGTCACTCACTCAGTGAGGAAAACAAGTTATTTTGTTATTTGGACTCTTGGTTATTTATAGTCAAACATAATTACTAATACAATGTGGTCTCTCAGAATCCACTCTTATCCCACTCCAAGTGTTTCTCCATTTTGCAGTCAGAGTGGTGGTCTTTTCAAACTGCAACTCCAATCATATTTCATTTCTTAGAACTTTTAATGACTTGCTGTTGTTTTAGATATAAACTAAATTTCTTAATGCAGTCAGTAAGACCCTTCATGGTCTGGACCCTGTCAAAAACCTCTAACTTAATTTTTTTATATAATGTTCTTCTTTGTCTTCAATGTTCTAGCCACGTTGTACCTTTCCGAACCTCTAATATATCATGGCACCTCCACCACTTGGGTAGAATTAAGTTGAGAATTCTAAATGGTAATTGTGAATGGCTCCTCCAAGTGAAGAGGTTTTCAATTTTAATATGACCACTTGTTAACAGATACTGAAATCTGAAACTGCTCCTCTTTTTCTTAATGCCAGTTTTCAAATCTATTTTAACTGTTTGGATGGGAAGGCTACTCTTTGTACAGTACTATAGCAATATCATTTTTTTTCCTTCAGTTTTGTCTTCTACAAATTCACTCAGCTATGATTCTACTCCCGGGTTCTTGAATTCCCAGAGGTGTCATCTTTCTTTCTCTCTTCTCACTGCCACCATGCAAGACTACCTCTGCACTTTCAGGCCTGTATTAATACAACAGTCTCTTCAACTAAGTCTTAGTCTGTCACCAGAGGGATTTTTTTTTTTTAAATGAAATTTGGCTGTAACATATCCCTGGCTTCAGCTTTTTACATTTCCTCTACAATGAATTCCAACATCCTAAAAGATTCTTCACAATTTGACCTCTGCCTGTATTTCTAGTCTTGTTTCTTGCTACTCTTCCTTTTATAATCAGCTTCAATCCGGCCAGATGGGCAAGTCCAGCTCTCTCTCATCTCTAGGTGACTGATCTAAGGAAAAGACCTTAATTTCCCACTTACTTCTACAATCTTATGCTTCAGGTCTCAGATTTATCCTTAAAGAGATCTTCTCTGAATCTTATTATCCCATAGAATATTATTTTAATCATATATTCCTCATTCAAAAGTAATTACTCTTTTCAGTAGCTCTGTTTCCCTCAGATGTAGGAGCTTGAAGACCAAGACCACATCTGTCTTACTCAGTGATGCATCCAGCACCAGCCACATCATATTGTCACATAGTGTTCAATAAATATTTATAAATGATGACTAGAAACATTCCTGACACATAATATATATTTAGTAATTAATACATAAATAATAAATGTATGAGATCACATATCATTTCATGTTATTTCTTATATACTGTGAATTTATGTGTAGGCATTTGTTATCTTCCATCACATATGTGTGCACATGCACACACATACACACACCTTTTTTTTTTACCTCTGATTATTATGGAGTAACTTTTCTGCTACTACACTTCTTTCTATGGGAGACTCATCTACACCAGAGTATCACACTTATTTAGAGAACAATAGAAACTCCTATTATGCATCTGGCAAGTCGCTAATTCAGTTTGGTTCAATCCAACAAATATTAAGAATTCTCTAATAAACCAAATGCAATGCTAAGTACTGGGAAAAGAGCAATAAGCAAGATGGCTACTGTTTCTGCCCTCATAGAGTTCAATATCTAGAAATGAAGACAACTTTTAAAATTACATAACTAATTAAATTTTAATAGATGTTATAAGAAAGAATTGCAGGGCACCAGAAAGGATATGCTAGCCCCCTATGAATTCTACCTAACCTAGACTCTTGCAGAAACTCTTTGCTGTTCTTTGTGGGGTGTATTCTGTACTACACAAGGAACCTAGGATGTGGGTAACCTATATCCTGATAAAATACACCCCCCCCCCCAAAAAATGGTCTTAATTATTGAAATAATCAGTTTGTTTTATGCATTTTCCTTTCTCATCCAAGGTCAAAATCTTTTAAGGAACAAAATATGTTTTCCCTTTATACTATTTGTTTGCATGTTGAATATGCTACATTTTAAATATTTACTTTAAATGTACACAAGAACAAATAGAACTAGATTATTAAAAATGACTATTCCAATTATAATCTACAGACTGAATCATTTAAAATCTATTTGGGATAACATATAATAGTATAAATATTAAGCCTTTTTCATTAAATTGCTGTAATCAGATATGCTTTTAGTTCTTGGGAAAAGTTAAACAGATTCTTATCAACCGGTTTATTACTTTTTCTCCATGAATAATGTTTTACAAGCAGGACTTTTCATTTTATCAGACAGATAAGGATTACAACAATTTAAATTTAACATGCTTCAGATAAGAGTAAAGTGAATTCCAAAACAGAAATATGAATTACAATGCAGTTTTCCTAACTTCTGTCCCATGGCAGAATGATTCTAAGAATTACACCTGCTCATTAAGCCTTTATTGCCACTTACTTCTCAATTATTCTATATTTATTAAAATATTTTCATACCTAGGACCTTCAAGATAAAGTGTTTGCTGACTTCTCCAGCCTCATTTGCAGCAATGCAGGTATACTTTCCTGAGTCTTCAATCTCTGCTTTGATGAGCTGAAGGACCATTCCTTGAGTGTTTATTGTCAGATGGGAGTCAAGCTCCAGAGGCTGGCCATCTCTCAGCCAGGACATACTGGGAGTGGGAGTCCCATCTGTAAAGCATGTCATTGAGGTGGGACTGCCTTTCACAATTGTGATTTCTTCTGTTCCCATTGCATTATCCATATTTGGTGGTACTAAAAAGAAAATAAAAGAAAGGCAAATTTATATACTATAATTTGAGATTCACTTAAACAAATTTAAATAGTTCTATAATGTTTCTAAAGCTTAGAATAAATATGTACCTTTAAAATGAATATATAATTTACTGATGGCCTTAGTATAAAAACATGCATTAAGCCTGCTAATTACTAATCTTTCAGATATTAGCACTTAAGCTTTGAAAAATGTTTTTTCATAGAATATATAATCAATGTATGGTCATTTTAAATTATTGCCATTTGGGACATTTTTGTGAGCTCTGGTGGTGTAATGGATAAGGCATGTGGTGGTTATGTTTGTGTGTCAACTTGGCTGGGCCTGGTTTAGTGGCTGGGCAGCTGGTGGTAGTTATTCCCCATGATGAGACTGGCAATCAACTCCATGGTGGGATCTACCACAAGCAGCTGAATAGCTGCCTTTGGAATGTGGTCTTCTTCCTGTATATAAGGAGAAGCCTTTGGGAATGGTCTCTAGCCTATGGCACACTTGGACCCTGTATGTAGCCATGTCATTGCTCAGCAGCCTGCCATGCTCTGCTGACCTTGGGACTTACAATGGACTACCATGTGGTTTGGTAACATTGGGACTGTGTCTTTTTACTTGTCAACCTTGGGGCTTCTCGGCCTCAGCAGCCAGCAGCTGTCTGAGTGAAGAAATGCCTCTAGCTCCAGTGGGTCGGGAGCAGGAGGCAGAGCTGGACCCCGAGGTTGAGGGGCTTTCACCCAGCCCCTAGAGCCTGGCACTTTGAACTTGGACTTAAAGCCTCCAAATTGTAAAAATAAACTCCTGTTTGTTAAGGTCATCCTATTTGTGGTATATTCCTGTCAGAGCAGCACTAGGTAACCAGAACAAGGCACTTGGCTGCTAACCAGGTGAGTGGTTCAAATGTACCAGATGCTCTGTGGAAGGAAGACTGGGCAATCTACTTCCTTAAAGATTTACAGTCTCAGAAACCCAATGGGGGTCATTATGAATCAAAATCAACTCAATGGCAGTGAGTTTTGTTTTTGTTTTTTTTAGGGTCATTTGTAAATTCTTAGGTTTGTCTCTTTACTATACTGTATGTAAAGTTATAGGAGTATATTTTCAATTACCTTATATGGAATAATAAAGTAAGATTAAGTTCTAGAGTAAGTTTTACATATTACAACAAAAATCATTTATAGACTGTAAAAGCCAAACTCACTGCCATCAAGCTGATTCTGACTCATAGTGACCCACTTTGGATTTCTGAGGCAGTAAATCTTTACAGAAGTAGATTGCCCAGTCTTCTTTTCGTGGAGTGACTGGTTGGTTTGAACTGACAGCCTTCCAGTCAGCAGTCAAATACCTTAGGCCACTGGAGCTCCTTGTAGACTATAGTGAGTTTTATTATTACTATTATTATAAACTTATTCAACCAGGGTAGTATATGCAGTAGGACAGAACAGAAATTAAACCATGCACTCCTCAGAAGGAAGGTGGGGCAATCTACTTCTGTAGTGATACTGCCTCGAAAACCCAAGGAGGGGTCGCTATGATTCGAGTCTGACTCGATGGCACATAACAACAACAACAACAAAAATTACCCAAATTCACTGCCGTCAAGTCGATTCCAACTCATAGCAATCGTCGTTGGGTTTTGGAGGTGGTAAATCTTCACAGAAGTAGATTGCCCAGTCTTCCTTTCAAGGAGTGGCTGGTGGGTTTGAACCACCAACCTTCTGGTTAGCAGTCAAATGCCTTAGACACTGTGCCACCAAAGCTCCCTGACATTAAACCAGAATACCTGTATTGGGATTTGCAAATCCACATTCCTCAATGCTCAAGCACATCTCAGAGCAGTTAAGCAACCCTTGTAGACTATCGTTAAGGGTTACTTAATTGTTCTGAGATGTGTTTTGGCATTGAGGAATATGGATCGGTAAATCTCAGTACAGGTATGTGTTTGTTCTTGTCCTACTGCATATACATGCCTGGTACAATAAAGTTATAATAATAATAATAAAAACTTACTGCCATTGAGTTAATTCTGACGTATAGTAACCCCCATTGGGTTTCTAAGGCTGTAAATCTTTACAGAAGCATACTGCCTCATCTTTCTTCTGTAGAGCAGCTGGTGAGTTCAAACCACTGACCTTTTGGTTTGCAGCCAAATATCCTAACCACTACAGTATCAGAGCTTCTTAAGGCTATAATAGAGTTCAGAAATCTCAATCAGAGGACAGGACATAGCAGACATACTTTGCAAAGTACTGAAATACAGAGATTTGATGTGTCTGTTACTAATTCTCCAGGTCTGGCAATGACCCTGGCCCTGGGACAGCAGGGGGAGTAGGTTCCAGGACACTCATGCCTCTGTCACCCCACTTGACCCAGGCAGGCACCAAGCAGATGCTGCTGGAGGCCCCAAAGAGGATGTGCTGCCCAAGTCCCTGTCTCACTAAGCCCAGCACCCTGTGTACATGATAGCCTGGGGCCTAAGGCCCCAGCTCCTCCCATGGTGGCATCCCACAAGTGGTCTTGGCTGTGGCAGTGGTAGGAAATGCAGTAGGAAAAGTGGTTGGTTGGACTGCAAGTGTGAGCTGTGGCAGGTAGGGGGTGGGGGCAGGTACAGTTCTCAGAGACCCAGAGGTGACCATGCAGGACTTGCAGGGCCAGATCCAAAGTGCTTGAGTGGTACCCTGGTGTGGCAGTGGCAGGATGGGTCCTCCCCTGACTGGTGAGTGTTCTGTTTGCCCCTCTTCCACACATAATGTGATGTTTGCACAACATTCAGCTCACATAAAGCCCTATTTCACAAACAGAATTATCATGGGTGTTAAGTGTTGCATATATGTATTTCTGAAATAGCAGGTTTTGAGTTCTCTATGCACATACACACACAGAAATATATATGCACCTACCTGTATCCACTCATATTTTAAATACTCTAAATGAACTGCTAATATTATTAGAAGGAAGTCTTTTTGTTGGAATGATTAATAGTGCTCTTGTGTCTGGACTGAAACATTATTTTAAAAAATAAACATTTGACTTAACGCAAAATTCTAGGTCAGAACAATATTTTGCCCATCATTGTGGTCTAACAAATATGGGCCTCTTGGGAGAAAACCAATTCTTTGCTTTTTAGCAAGATCATGTTTCATCAATCCTTTCTGATACATGAGGAAGTATATTTCTAAATATATGCTTAATATTAGACTAAATATGAGCTTGATATTGGACACACAGTAAAATATTAGGTTCATTTCTCTGACATACCAAAAACTTGAAGCCTATAATGCTTATTATCCACCCCAGCTCTGTTGGAGGCCACACAGGTGTACATTCCAACATCAGAAACCTGAGCTCTCACAATCCTGGAAAACAATTTGACATAATTAATTTGATTTCACTCAACACATTCAGAACACAGGTGCTTCAAACACAATTTACTTTCAGTAAGCCACTGGAAATATAACAATTTAAGGGGAAAATATTTTTCAAATACATTAATAGTGAATGATACTAATATGAAAATCACATGATCTTACCATCTTCTGCCACACATATAGTTTTAGCTAAAATAGCAGTTCTTGGGAATAAAATTATGATAAATGTGTGCCTATGAAAAGATCCATTTTATATAAATTTACAAAATATGAGCCTTTAAATAAGAATAACAACATTTCAATTTTATAGCTGTTATTTCCCCCCTTCTAAAAATATACTGAAAGGGGTAAAAGGGAAAGCCACAGTAAAAGCTTAGGAAAAAAATACTTCTTCAATGCTGTTTAGACAAAAGAAATGTCTACAATTAAAGTTACTTTATTGTTCACACACAATAAAAACTGACCTGATAACCTGCCCTCCTGACAGTAACCGGATATGGGAGGAAAGAGGTAGAGGAAGTCCATTCTTTAGCCAGTTTATCTGTGGTGGAGGTGTCCCTGTGGCTCTGCATTCAATATTTATTGAAGTATCCAACACAGTCCTTAGTTTCTCTGCTTCTTCTTTATTACCCCTGATTACAGGTGGAACTACGTCATGCAGAAAAAGAGAGTGAGAGTGGAGAAAAAGAGAAGAAAAGCATGTACATTACTACTTCAAATCATCTCAACTACAACTGCCCACAGTTCTGCTCTGTATTTAAGGAAACAGTAATGGCATCAGATTGTAAAAATAAATGTTCCAGACACCTACTGCTGGATTTTCATTTCTACCATAGATTCCTAAGGTAGCATAGCTAAAAGAGGGTGAAATTTCATATTTACCATAGACATTCAAATTAAAAATTCGGTCGTCTTCTCCAGCAGGATTAGTAGCGACACATGTGTATTTCCCCATGTCAGTTTTGAGAGCACCGTAAATGTTTAATGTGCTGCCATCTGGAGTCACCCTACAAAAAAGGTCATAGTAGAGGCACTGAGCTGATTTATGTTGTGCTAAAATCTGGATTATTCACTCCGGAGTATTGGGGTCTTTTAAAAATACCACTATAAAATGATGCCTTCATTTTGGATATAATAGTTCAAATCTATCGCAGCTAGTAAAACTGATATAGATTTCAGATGATCAACTTAAGTTCTACAATAATGTGCCTCATATATCAAATACCTCCTTATGAGAAAAAGGAAATGCATAAAATCAGATTAGCAATTCTCTATTCATATTATAAACAAAGGCACATTTTTCTCAGGGTTAGGATTTATCTTCAGTTATCAATATTAGGTTAGAGTTAAATGAAAATTACAAATATTCTGGAAATATACACAACGAGAAAATGAAGACTATACATCAAAAAATCTAGCTATAAACTGAGTAGACCCTTACTGAGAAAGAACACAATAGGATAATTCATTTAAACTCTAAGAATAACTCTATATCATATGTAGGGATATATTGTATATATTCTTTTTTTCTACAAATTTTTTAACCTTTTCCTTTTAAGTATATAATAGTAAGTAATAAATATACAATTAAATCATTAAAGATATCTAAGCTAAGATTACTACATTATTAGTTCTCTTCACATACCATCAAGTAATCAAACAAACTTCCTATATTTTATAAAGAGATTAGATTGGTTACTTCATTTATGTCTACAATAGTGCATTCTCAAATTTTCCAGTGTTATAAGCAAATACTCAATCTCTACTACATCATATTATGAAATATGAATATTCAGAATTAAAATATAATGTGGGTCTAAGTATATTTCCTTTTCTTTAAAATATAAATTTTTAAAACTTCATGAGTTTAACCATATGAATAAACCAAAAAGTAAGTTGTGACTAAAGAAAAGTTGTTAACTTGACTGTGAAAAATTATATCGGTAAGTTGTTTCACTTATAAATCTAAACATATTGTAAAGCAGCAAACAAATATTATTCAGTAACATGAATATAAGAAGTAAATCTAGGATATTAATAATGTAAGAGAAGGAGTGATAGATTCTAAGTTCCTAAGTACAAATATTAAATAATACTTCAGGTCCTGGCTAGTTTCCAGTACTTGCCTTGGCATATGGTTGCTAACAGTTGATTTAATAAAAAGTAATTTGTTAACAAGTCAGAAATGCTTACACCAGAGAATTAAGACTTACATCGTATCTCTAAAATACTACTTGCTAATTTAAGTCATCTTGTAAAAGAGCTAAATATTAAATATTAAACAGTAAATAGAAAGAAATAACATTTATTTTTCTTTCCTTATGTTACATTTTTTTTCAATTGATTGACTAAAAAATCATTCCAAACTCTTAAATTTAAAATATTGGTCCAAAATGATAAACCCTTAAATTACAACAAGACTTCAAAGGAGTTCATTCGGGTCTGACTCCTGACTAGAATTTGAATTTCCACCCCAGATATACTTAATAAAAATTTACATTTTAAAAAGATCACCAGGTGATTCTTATATATACATAGCCCTGGGGGCTCTTGTTAAAAGAATCACTGGAGGATCTTGTTAAAATGTGGATTTTGATTTAGTATATCTAGAGTAAAAATGTGAATTCTCAGCAGGGGGTTTGAACCAGAATGAACTTTTTTCAAAGTCCTGGTTTATATTTAATTAATACCTATTTTCATAATTCTCCAAGTGATTAGAATTGTTCTGGAATGTGTATAAAATGGGGCTTTGTGATAAATTACTATAGATTCTTGTTTGTCCTTTAAAAGTAATTTATTGTTAAAAGTAGCAGGAGATGACTTCCAGTAAGATGGTGAAATAGAAAGACAAGCTACACAGACCCTCTTCAACAAAGAAAAGAGAAAACAATTGACACAGATACAGAAGACAATCCTGGAGCCCTGAGCTTTGAAATGAAGGATACAGAAGTGGACTAAACACCATCTACTTCTGTAAACATACCACCTTGGAAACCCAAGGAAGGGTTGCTATGAGTCAAAATTGACTCAACAGCAGTGAGTTTGTTTTTTTTGATAGTAGAAGAACCTGAATGAAAACAGTGAAAAAGAAGACAAACAGAGATGCGGACTGTCAGCTTTCCTGACAGAATGGTCAGTTTGAATATTTCCAAGTGGTGTTAAGACCAGAGAATTAACCTAAAAATTGGCCTGCTTGCCTAGGGCTGCATGGACAACTGCACTGATGGCTTATGGCTAAAAAGAGAAACAGCTAAGGAGGAGATAAACAGAGCTGTGGACTTCGGCTGTCTGGTGGGAACAGCCATTTTGAATGTTTACAAGTGGTGGCCATTTGGAATATTTGAAGCCATAGTGTTCTCATTTCGATTCCACAGGCCTAAAAATAGGTTCCACTTGCCAAAAACAGCATGGACACACCAGAGGTTGGCAACTGAAAAGGTTCTAGTTTTGGGCTTTCTCTTCCCTTTTCCTGGTTCCCATTGTTTTTTTTCTTGTGGTTATTTCCATCCCTTGTTTTTCTTTTTGCATTTTTTCCCTCATTATTCTCTTACTCTAGCTCTTTTCTCTTATTCCCCAGATATTGTGGGTCCCCCTCCTTTTTCTCTATATTTCATTCGTCTTTCTAAAGTATTTCTTGAAATACTTCATTTCATTTATTGCCTTTCCTGTTTTTGTTTTGTTTTCTTTCTTTTTTTCATGATAGGTCCTATGTCTTTATGTAGTGTGTTTCTGTCCTCACTATTAATTTTTTGGTGTTTTTTTTTTTTTTTTTTTTTTTTTTTTTTTTGTGGTGTTGCTGATTTCTTTGTTCCCTATAATTTTCTGTGCTGAGCTCGTTTTGACCAGCACTTTCGGCAGGCTCACCTCCTGAGTGA